TCTCTGAGAGCTGAGGACCTGTCCCCTCCTGGAGGGTGGCCCCAAGCGTCTTCACAGCCCTGGTGCTAACTCCTGTCTCTGTCCCCAGGCCATGGTCCAGCCAGCAGCTCCGCATCCCCGGTAAGCCCGGCCCCTGCACCACTCATTCCACTGGGGTCCAGGTTGTGCAGGCTCAAGGCGGGTAACCAGCCAGTTCAGCAGCACAGAGCAGACCCTGCTTCCCTGAGAGGAGCCAGGACAAGGCAAGCCCTGTTCTGGCCAGGAGTGGACCCTCTTCAGGGGCAGGACCACCCCCCAGCGTGTCCTGAGTTCTCCCTGCTCCCCTGAGCTGGCCAAAGGAGAACGCTGGAGTCCAGATAGGCGCAGGGTGGGCTCGGGGAGCACCAGCCAGGGGTCCTGGGCTAACAGAAATGGGTGCAGTGGGCAGTGGTCGGGCCTGGGGAATGGGTCAGCAGGCTTGGAGAAGGCATTTCTAGAGACAGAACCAGTCACTCCCATAGAGAAATGATCCTCCTCTGACTACCAACACTCATTCTCTCCTATTTAGGACTCCCTGCCCAGCCCCACCACAGCCATTCCTATCTACCAGGTGAGTGTGGGCAGTGACTGCTCTGGTCCCCGAAGCCCAAGGGGGCCAAAGATCTGCGCCCTAACTGCCCCTGGCTGTGATTTCAGGTTCAGGAAACAAGAGAGCAAGAGGGACAGGGCATTGTGGGAGGAAGGAGGGGCCGGGGGCAGACACTTGCCACACAGCCAGGCTCCCAGAGAGCAGCCCAAGTGGTCCTCGAACTTGAAAGTCACCCAGATATGTTCCAGGAAGGTGACAGGGGCTCAGAGGCCTCTTCTTCTTTTACAGGAATTACGACACCCCGACACAAACATTTACTGCCAGATCGACCACAAAGCAGAAATGGCTTCTTAGTTTCCCCTGGGAACTGCTCCTTCCAGGGCCCTCCTGAGACCCCAGACTCTAGGTGGAGTCAGGAGCTGCAGCCTGAGCCGGAGAACCGGCTCTCCCCTCTGAAGATATTCAGGGACATGGACCCAGGGTCGGGTCCCAACTGATTTCTGGAGACCCCTACAGGCTGCCCTGAACCCAGAACAAAGGCCCCCATTTCCCAGGAAGTGGGGGTTCCCAGGAAAAGTGTCCTGACCCCTGACCCACTGGGGATGATCTGAGAGGATCTGAATAAAAAGGACTCTTCCCCTCCTTGGCTTTTTTTTCTGAATGGTCAGTTCTCTTAGCAGAAATTCCCCCAGGGGCACCTAGCTGGTTCAGTGAATAGAGCATGCTACTGAATTTTTTTTTAACGTTTTATTCATTTATTGGAGGGAGAGGGAGAGAGATCAGGAGCAGGGGAGAGGGGCAAAGGGAGAGGGAAAAGCAGACTCCCCACTGAGCAGGGAGCTGGACGTCGGGCTCCATCCAAGGACCCCAGGACCATGTCCTGAGCCGAAGTCAGACGCTTAACCAACTGAGCCACCCAGACACCCCGAGCATGCAACTCTTGATCTTGGGGTCATGAATTTGAGCCCCATGTGTGGCACAGAGTTTACTTAAAAAATAATCATGATAAATGTAAAAAAAGAAAAAGAAAAGAAATTCCCCTGAAGCTCTGGGTCTCTTCTCTCCTGGGTCACAGAGGGAAATGTTACCTCTGAGTTGACCAAGCCCCCATCTCCAGTCCCCCAGGATAGAGGAAGGGGTGGGTGGTGTGGACATGTTGGCACCACGCTAACTAGAACGCCAGAGCTGTGGCCAAACCATGAGGGAACTCAGCGGTCCTCACATCGCTCAGGGACCCAAGCTATAGACACTCCCAGTGTTTATAAATGTGGTTTGGGTGTCGGGAGCACAGACCATGGGGCCTCTGTCGAGCACATGAAGATGAGCCAGGAAGGAGTAGCTGTGGGCATCAAACCAACCACAGAGAAGGATGAACTGGGCATCTTTTCCCTTGGCTATTCTTTAAGAGTAGGTCAGCTGGCAACAAATTTTCATATTCTTCCTCATCAGAAAATTTCCTTGTTGCCCCTAATGATCCTCCTGAGGATCATCTTGCCAGATACAGGATTTGTAGTTGATTAGAAAAACCTGCCACTTCCTTCTGGCCTCCATGCTGTCAGATACAAAACCTACCATCACTTGCTTAAATCATTGTTCCTTAATAAGCAATGGGTTGTTTCTCTGGCTCTTTTTATTTATTTATTTTTAAAGATTTTATTTATTTACTTCAGAGAGACAGAGTGAGAGAGAGAGAGAGCAAAAGCCAGGGGGAAAGGCAGAGGGAGAAGCAGCCTCCCTGCTGAGCAGGGAGCCCAACGCAGGGCTGGATCCCAGGACCCCGGGATCCTGACCTGAGCCGAAGGCAGATGCTTAACGACTGAGCCACCCAGGTGCCCATCTGTGGCTCTTTTTAAAGATTTTTTTTCCTCTTGTGTTTAGTTTTCACAAGTTTGCCATGTGCCTTAGTGTGACTGCTTATCGTGTTTGGGGTTCACTCATCTTCTTGGACCATTATTTCTTCAGACACTTTTCAGCCCATATTTTTTTCCTACTTCTGGTATCCAGTGGCACCAATGTTAGATCCTTTCTTTTTTTTTTTTTTTAAGATTTATTTATTTATTTGAGAAACAGAGTGTGCTTATGAGCAGGGGGAGGAGCAGAGGGAGAGGGAGGGAGAGAATCCTCTAGCCGACTCCCTGCTGAGTGCTAAGAGACCACAAGTCAAGGAGTATGGGCAGACTCCAGAAACTGGAAAAGGCGAGAAAACTGATCCTCCCCCAGAACCTCCAGAAAGGAATGTGGCCCCGCCAATATCTCTATTTTAGCCCAGTGAAACCCATGTTGGACTTCTGACCTCCAGAACTGTAAGATAATAAATGTCTGTTGCTTTTAAGGCACCGTCTTTGTGGTAATTTGTTACAGCAGTAATAGGAAGCAAATATAGAGGTCATATTAGATTATATTGTTGTATGAATATCAAATTGGGCGAGCTTGCTCATCATACTGTGGATAGATAGGAGAAAATCTCGGTTCTGGTGAGATACGGGCTGAAGTAGTTAGGGTGAAGTATTAGATACTTATAACTTCCAAGTGATACATCAAAAAATCATATATATATATATAATGAAAAAGATTTGTGTGCATGCACGTGCATATAGTTTCATCGATGCAGACAGAATACAAATGTGACTTTGAGAAATAAGTATGAAAGGTATATGGGAGTTCCCTCTAATAGTCTTGTAACTTTTCTCTAAGTTTGACTTTTTTTTTTATTGGGGGTGGGGCCTTATGTTTTAGAAGTACACACAAAAGTGTTTAGAAACAATAGTATATGGCTCAGTTGGTTAGGTGACTGCCTTCGGCTTGGGTCATGATCCTGGAGTCCCGGGATCGAGTCTCACATCGGGCTCCCTGCTTAGCGGGGAGTCTGCTTCTCCCTCTGACCCTCTTCCCTCTCGTGCTCTCTATCTCTCATTGTCTCTCAAATAAATAAATAAAATCTTAAAAAAAAAAGGATATGATTTCTAATATTGAATCCGGTCCGTGGAGGAGTAGAAGGGAAAGAGAAACAACAAGGTTCATCACGAGTTGATACTTTGGAGCTGGAGATGAGTACTTGGGGGTTCACAGTACCATTCTCTCTATTATAACATGATTGTATACAAACTCTCTTTTGTATACATTTAAAATTTCCCATATGAAAAGACTTCAAGGAAAGAAAAAAATATTTCCAGCTCTGAAGTTTTATCAGTGAGTTCCACAGAACTTTCAACACAAATCGTCTCAAAATTATACAAATTCATCCATAGAACAGCGAGAGACTATGTCCCTAACTGACTCTGGGGTTCGTATAACCTTTGAACTGAAATAGGAACAACAACAAAAGTACAAAAAGAGGAAAATATCAGGCCAATCATACTCATGAACAGAGAGGCAAAAATGTTAATCACGACATTCTCAAACCAATTCCAACAGTATATACAATAAGACAGTACACCGTGACTAAATTCCAATTGTCCCAGGAAAGCAAAGGTTCAATATTAGAAACTTATAATGGGGGGGGCAACTGTGTGGCTTGGTCGTTTAAGTGGCTGGCTCTTGATTTTGGCTCAGGTCATGATCTCAGGGTCCTGGTACTGATCCCTGTGTCAGCCTCCGTGCTCAGTGAGCGGTCGGCTTGAGGATTTCTCTCCCTCTTCCCCTGCCCCTCCTCCTCCTCAAATAAATTAATTAACTTTTTAAAAAAAATTTATAAATGGAAGATGGTAAGAATTTCTAGGGTGCCAGCAATGTTCTGTTTCCTGACCTAGCTGGTAGATACATGGGTGTGTTCAATTTTTGAAAATTCAGTAAGCACAGCACTTCGTTCTGTATCAGTCCTCCTACCCCCTCAACTTTTTTCATGATATACACCCTTTGAAAAGACCAGACCAGACGTTTTGACTTGTAGAATGCCCACATTCTGACTTTGTTTCCTTATGGTGCCATTTCACTTGCTTCTCTAAACCCTGTATTTGCTATAAATTGGAAAATGAATCTCAAAGCTTGCAGAGATTCGGGTGATATTTTTTTGGCAAGAATGCTTCCTGGGTTTTCTATTGCATCATATTAAGAGGGACATCCTAACTACTTGTCTAGACCTTATGCCAATATAACTATTTTCATGACATAAAAATTGATCAGTGGGCATTTTTTTAGGTTTTTCTTTAAATTCCAGTTAGTTGGGGTGCCTGGCTGGCTGAGGAGGTTGGGTCCTGATCTGAGGGTCGTGGGATCAAGTGCCATGTAGGGCTCTGTGCTCAGTGGGGAGTCTGCTGGAGAGCCTCTCCCTTGCCCCTCCCCGCTCGCTCACTCTCTCTCTCTCAAAAAAAAAAGTCTTTAAAATTTAAAAAATAAGGGCGCCTGGGTGGCTCAGTTGGTTAAGCGACTGCCTTCGGCTCAGGTCAT